CTTCAGACTTTTTCATTTAATTTATATAAATGTAAATGTCACTCAGTTTCTTTCTACATTTTCAAGTATCAGCCCTTTGAACAATGGGGGGAAGGATCCTCCCCCTTATTTTTTAACTCTGAAAATCGCCAATTTCTGTATAGTCATACTTCGTTTTCCAGATCCTGTTTGGTCTTTCTGGGTGAATGGAGAAATACTACTTGAAAAAAAAAAATATATAAAAATCAGGATTTAGAACTGTTTTGGTCAGCTGAAAACATACCTCCAGCAGTCTTCTATGGATATGCTTGGTTTTCTGTAATGCTTGAAAACTTGTACTTTCTCTTTCATTTGAAACAAACCACATGTAGGTCATTAACTTGATGAGAAGCTGTTGGAATAGGTTTAATGTTTAACCTCTTGGTATTTATTTAATATTTAACTTTTTCTTGCTGCACTCCAATGGATGAACTCTTTGCAGTCCACAGTTGGTTTCACTCCTTTAAAGCCACTCTGCATCTTTTTTTTTTTGTTGTCCATACTACTGCTTTTAGGGCTTTTTGGCTGAAAGTAGTAATGGCTTCAATTCAGTGATAATTTTTTTTGGGGGGGGGGGTGTTTGGTGGTGGTTTTTTGTTGTAGAAAATCCGGATTTGTCTCTTCACTTTGTATTATAAAAGGATGCTATATACCAGCTCAGACATCAAACCCATCTTATTTAAAGGAGGCAAATCGTAAGCAGAAGGACTTAAGATAATTAACACACTACCATTTTCTACCTCTGTCTTGGAGAAATGTGTCATCCTCTGGCTTTGGGTTTTGTTTTTTTCCTTTCTGTCAGGACACTTGCTGGTTTTTTTCATGCTTCTGGTACTCAAAAGCAGAAAGCAATTGCATTGGATGTTGATTCTTTTTACTTATGTTTGGCAAATTATTTATTCTGGGAGTTCACTGCTGGAATATGGCTGGAAGTTAGTGGGAAGAGTCCCTGTGCTCTGGTTTTGGATTAGCTGGCTTCCAGCTGAGCACCACCTCATAATTTCCCTGACCCCTGTAAAGCCCCCTCTGCCTGGGTACTGCTCACTGGTTTTGGAGATGAGCAGAATCAGGAATTCCCACTAAAATTGACAAACCTCCACAGCACTCCCTGTCTTGGTGGAAAGGTTAATGTGCTAGAGGAGTTCGTTGCTGAAGATGGTCGGAGTGAAGGGGCATCCGGGGCTGAGCTTGCATAGTTGTGTGTTGTAGCCCTGCTGATGGCACTGAGCACCTACCTCTGCCCCTCCCAGTTTACCAAATGGGAATTATGCTCATGGTTAATTGACTTCAAGTGCTGTTACATATTGCCCTTCTGCTTCTGTCTGGTCAGAGGATGAAATTATAAGGCTTTGTCCCACAGTTCCTGCCAAAAGTTCAATATAAGGTCAATGCTGTTTTTCCTAGTAAAAATGTCAGTTGATAAGCGCTTCTCTAATAGCATTATGTGTTTAATATTTCTATGGCTTGGCAGGTCCTGTACATATCTTTCCTGTCCATGTAGAAGATGCTTGCATTGAAAAGGGGAGTTGCCTAATACATTTTTGAGAAGTGATTATTTTTATCAGTTCTGAAGATACTGCAAGCTACAGACTTCTGGCTAAGGGTGTTGTGTCATCTCTTGATGGTGAGAGAGAGGAGAGGAGAAAAACTGGGTGAATTGTTGGTAGTTAATTGACAGATTTTTCATGTTAGGTAGTGCTTTGTAGTACGCTCATGAAGAGTAAAATACCCAATGTGATTCCTGTTTAAAGCGTTGCTGCTGGGTGAGGGTGGGGATAGGAAGCGGTGGGGTGGTACTATCATCATCCCTGGGAAGTACAGCCATAGTTCCCATGGCTTTTGGTGGCACGTGCGTAACCCCGGCTGTGGAAAATAAGCCTTATGGCTAAGGAGTGTATCTTCCTGTGCTGTGCTCTGGGCCTGTATTGGGTCAGGAGATCAAAGTACAGCCTGGCCGGCCGGCATCTGGCAGCCTGTTGGATCATGACTAGCCCTTAGGCTTCTGGTACCTTTGCTTTATACTGCTGATAGAAACCTTAACTGTTTCTGTGTTTCCCAATCCTACACCTCCATTCATTGTTTTGTAATACTGCTGCTGTTGATGGGAGCAGTAACTTAATACCATGGGAATGCTTAGAGCACGGGGAGATGTAATCAATGTTTTTTTCAAAGTCTGAGTAATCATTTTTCTTGGATATTTCATTGATGAACCATTATTTACTTATTTTTTCAAACCACGCTTACCTAAGAGTGTTATCTTCCAGTGGGGCCCTGTTGAAGGTAGGTGAGCATGGCTTGTTGGTACCAAGATTGAACGCTAGGCCAAGCCTGTGCGTGTCTGCATTTCACAGCCCTCTGCTGTAGCTGGAAACCTGCGAGTGGGAGCAAAGTGGGATGGTGAGTGGGGCTTAGTCCTTTTAATGGGAGCTCCTGCGAGGGCAGCTGAGCTCTCTGGGGAAGCCTCCAGTGAAAGCAAAGGCCTTGACTGAAAAGGCAATTTAATACTGTGAACTCTCTGGCAGGCCAGACCTCATGCTGGGAGCTAAGCTGTTGCTTGTGTAGTAAGAATGCTTTTTCCAACTTCATTGGAGAGTGAATAGGATAGCTGTTTAGTTGATTGAACTACTACTACTACTATTATTGCTGAGGATAAGATGTTATAGGGTAGTCTCTAATGCCTTAATTGAAACAGCTTAAACAAATCAATCTCTCCTGATGTTGATGACAATGGTGCAGTATAGTGAAGATCTCATAAGCTACTGGTCACATTTGCAGCAAGTAATTTCCTCCATCTTCCCCTGAAGTGTCATCTCTGTAAAATTGAGCTTTGTGGTTAGAAACAGTGAAGCCTCCAAATACTTCCCAGAATGCTATGTCAGCCTGTGAATGTGGTGGTGATGGTGTGGAGATCTCATTCTCCATGTTTTGCTTCGTCATTACTTGCCCATGGGTACCATAAGGTTTTACTCTGCATCTTCATGCTGTGGGCTTTGTCTTAGCAAAGAAAAAACCAGAACTCACAAAAAAGTGTATCTGCCCAAATGAACCTTTTTGTGCATATATATGTATGTGTATGCACACATAACTGCTGGTGAGAATTCATTTAAAATTGGTAGAGTTCTCTAAGTGATGGTCAGTAAACTCATAGGCAGTAGGTAACACTTTCTGGAGACAAGTGTGGAGGAAGCTTCAAATCCAGTAAGAAAATTTTCCTGTGAGAAACTTGATTTAAATAGGCAATGTACCTTGCAGTGATTTTCCAACTTTACTTGGGCTTGGTGCATGCTTATTAACGTTTCAAAGTCGAGCCACTTGCCGAAGCTGGAGTAGGAGAAAATTTGGACATCTTTGAGAAAGTTTGATATTATATAGTAGCAATACGAGTATAAGATGCTCTGTTGGTGAGCTGGTAAGCCATATAACATTAAAGAAAAATCTTCAAGTCCTCAGCAATCTGTTATAAGAGGGTTGTAAGACTACACTGTAAGGAGACAAGAAGGACTGAGTAGCAGTGGTAGCTGTTTCTGTTGTCCTTTTTTTTTAATAAAGGACACTGCAACAGACTCAGGTTTCCTTGTGGTTTGGCTTGGCAGGAGAAAAGAGCAGATTGTTTGATTTGGCTTGCACTTGTTTCTCTGTCCTAGGAGGATTAAAGTGACTGAGGAGCTTTCTGACATGCCCTCTCCCTGCTTCTAATGCACTCTGTCTGGTGCATACCATGTTTTATAGGCTTCGCTCATGAAAACACAGCGGGAGGGAAAGTTATTTTCCCTTTCCCTGGCAGCCTGCTACTGTCAGGCACTGTGTGTGTTTAGGATGGCAGTGGGGTTTTCAGCATAGGTTAGAGCTAATGCTCGAGTGCGTGCTCAAGTGCTGACTTAAGTAGGTTTAGAATCAAGGACTTCTAAAAGTGCTTCAGTGGAAGCTGCAATGTTCACATAAATAGTGCTAACTCCTATTATTGCACTTGTTCTCTTCTACAAAGTATAATTTTGGAAAGCTCAAAGTAGTTCAGTTGGTTCTTATTTGATGGTAGCATCTCCCTGCCAGATTTTGACTCTCTACATCTGTATGTCTGATCACTGTTGACACTAAAGAAAACCATTGTGTGAATTTGTCCTTTTGGGAGAAAAAAATAATCTTTATCCTCTCTATTCCCATTGGCTGATATGAAGACTAAATGGCAGAAAATGTTATTCTTAAATCAGAGTAGAGAGTTGTAACTTGCAGGGAGCACAGCTTGAAAGCTGTGGGTGACTATCAGACAGGACGTTGTGGTAGAAATGCTCATAACCATGCTAACAGTAGCGTGAAGCTTTCAAACTACTAAATTAAAATGGACATACTAGAAGTTCTGCTTGAGGGGGCAAGGCTGAATTGTAAGAGTCATCTTATATCTCATGTGCTTAAAATCACCAGTGTGTTTTTTAGGTCTCATGTAAATAAATACAGGATTTTAGCCTTTGGGTCTTCGAACTTAGGATCTTTCTTATTCAGCTAATACATTACAATGACAACACTGCAGCTGTGCTTTTAGATATAATCCCAAAAGTAGCAGGATCTAGCTTTCAGAGCTGATTTCAAGATCTTCCGGCTGTTGGATGGCATATGTAATTTGGAAGCGGTGGACACGGTATCCCCATGGAGGGTACCAACCTCGTTGTCTCAGTTGGTTTTCCTGCTGTGTAGTGCAGGTGTCATATCAGTATCTATGTTGGAAGAATTCTCTTGTCTACCCTTAATGCCAGATGGAAAGGGAGGGTGGGGAAAAGAGAGATCTGACTAGAAACTGAGCACTACTAAATGCACTCTGAAGCAGAGTGGCTCTCTTGGTCCCCGTGACCACTGTGAAGATGTCTTCAGAATAACAGGGAGATGTCATTAGCTTTTGTGCAACAGCCACATAATAACTTTTTTAAATTCCTAGGTAGCGTACAAGCCTGTTTTCTGTTGATGTAATGCTTTTCTTTCTCATTTCAGCTATGAAGCCGTACGCGCCAGCTTTCATTCTCCTGTGGAGCGCTGTCGGGATAGCGAGGGCTGCCAAAATCGTTGTTGTGCCGCCAATAATGTTTGAAAGCCATCTTTATATTTTCAAGACTCTGGCCTCAGCCTTGCATGACCAAGGGCACCAGACAGTGTTTCTCCTCTCTGAGGGCAGAGAGATTCCTCCCTCTAATCACTATAGACTCCAGCGCTACCCAGGGATCTTTAACAGCAGCACCTCAGATGATTTTCTCCAGTCCAAGATGAGGAGTATCTTCTCTGGGAGACTGACAGCCCTCGAACTGTTCGATATCCTGGACCACTATTCCAAGAACTGCGACATGATCGTTGGCAACCAAAACCTCCTGCGTGCTCTGAAACAGGAAAAATTTGACCTGCTCCTTGTAGATCCTAATGAGATGTGTGGATTTGTTATAGCTCATCTTCTAGGGGTTAAATATGCTGTCTTTTCTACTGGCCTCTGGTATCCAGCAGAAGTGGGTGCTCCAGCTCCCCTGTCTTATGTTCCAGAATTTAACTCGCTGCTCACAGATCGCATGAACCTATTTGAGAGGATTAAAAATACTGTTGTTTATCTTATTTCAAGATTTGGAGTCAGTTTTTTGGTTCTGCCAAAATATGAAAGGATAATGCAGAAATACAAGGTTCTGCCAGAGAGGTCCATGTATGACTTGGTTCATGGATCCAGCCTGTGGATGCTTTGTACTGATATAGCACTGGAGTTTCCAAGACCTACGCTACCCAACGTTGTTTATGTGGGAGGAATCCTAACCAAACCGGCTAGCCCTCTGCCAGAAGTAAGGTTTGCTGAGCTTTGCAGTAATTTCTGTGCTATCTGGCTGACCTTGTGTCAGGAGAGGCAGTTTTTAAGCAGTGAGTTTCAAATGGGATCTAGCTGTTGCTTGTTAATCTAATTTTGTTGTTTCTTGGTCAAATATACCCTTGAAGTCACTGGAAGTAGCTTGGGGTGGTGCTGAGGGAAACTATCTGACACGCTCATCAAAATGAGTCTCTTGTGGTTGAGGGAAATATTTTGCCTTTGAGGTGTTTAGTGATACAGTAAAGGAAAAAACAGCGCATGCTTCTAACCAAGTGTGGGTTAAAACAGGGAGAAGGGATGAATACTGCTTATGCTTAAAGAAGCTTGCTGATAGGTTATACTCTAATTCCATGTTAGTAGTGTTTTTATGGAGAGTTTGCTTCCCTTGGTTTGGTAGGTTAAAATGCCTTTAAAGCTAGGTGTGTATAAGCATAAAGAAAGTGTGTATAGGCTAAGAACTAGAGATTATGTGAGTTGACATAAATGGTACCGCTATTATACTCGGATATGAATTTTTACTATATACTTACTGGCCATCAGGTACTGAACTTCAGCCTGAAATAGTGATAGTGACTGGATGGATTCCAGAAATCTGGGCTGCACAGATAATTATTAAGTTTGATTACTTCAGTGTACCATGTGACCTGATACCCAAGAATGGCTCTGTTCAGCAGCACAATGGTGAGTGACAGGCAGAACAAAATTTCACAGAAAACCGTGTCACTTGGACTTCTATTTATGTACACATAAACACATAGATCTTGACTTGGAGATAATTAATGGACACTTCTGGCTGGGTGCTAAATGGTAGGTAGACCTGCAGTGCTCAACAATTTGCTTCTAAAAATGCCTTGTTCAGATCTTGCTTTTTTTGTGAAAACTGGCAGGCCTTCTTCACCTGTTTTAGCCTGAAAATTTGTTATGGAAGGCTGAGGTTTTCTGGTTGTGTTTTTGTTTTTTTATTCGTTGCACTGTTGGTAGTATCTTGACTTAGCAGTACCTTTTCACCAACTCAGAAAACATGAGACAATTCTGACTTGGACTGTAGGATGTGCAGCACTGAACCAATTCCTTCATCTTTTTTCCCCTCCCTTGTTCAACTTGCAATGCATCTGAGCTGAACGAGAGCAGGCACTTGAACTGTACAGTGAATGTGCTGTTGGTTACATCCCAACAGACGCTATTCTGTTCTCCAAGGTGTCATCAGAGAGAACCATAGCAGTGCTGCTTTTAGCTGCTTCTTCCTATGTGTACATTAATGCGTTTGTCTTTAGAAAGTCTCAAGCTGCAGAGATATCCTGAGGAAGCAGACTAAAAGGAGCCCTGTGCTGTCTAAACAAAGTTCAGCCCTAGTCTCTCCAGGAAAACCTTGCTGGCTGGATTGAGGTTCAGCTCTTAATTTTCCAAACTGATGTTCTCTCCGTCTGTGAGAAGAAAAATGTCTTTGCGTGATTAATTTGGGCACGATGTCAACATTGTCTGTTTATTTTCTCTGTAGATTGGTCTTTAGGGTAAAAAATTGTCCCCAAAGCAGATACTTTCTTCGGTATAAAATGGGGTGGAAGACAATGAAAGGAGCAGTTTTCTTTCAGTGTTTTGCTATAGGGATGTGTATGTGTAGATATAGAGACATATATTTGTTCACAGAGGTATAAATATATATTTGGAGTCTTTTGAGACTATATTTGTGTACTTTCTAAATGTACTCTGGAACAACAGATGTTAACCTGTTACAATATCTTACAATGCAAGAAGATGGAACAGTAAAATGTTTAACACAACCAGACTGACAGTGAGCTTGAAACAGACCTGTAGGTAGAGTACATGCTGGCAAATACTTGCTCCAGTGGGGGGGGGTGACGACACCAAACCCTGTAATTATTTGTGAACTGAGACATTATTTACCTTCAGGTTTATCAGGCAATTCATTCTTACAATGTTCAAGCGTGGGATTTGATTGAATGCGAGAGACAAAGTGAGTGTGTGCATCTTTTATCGCATAAATAGTCCATGCCTAAACTGTTACGCTTAATCCACTGTGGTATGTATTGTAGGTAAATTATTCAGCTATCAGTTTGTTTTTACTGAACAGTTAAATAAAATTTGTAAGTGTTGCTTGATCCTGGCAGATTAAAATTGCTTAGCTAGTGCTGTGACTGTTTTCAGCTATTGCTGCATCTCTAAGGCAGGAGCCTTTGCTAATTTATTTTCTGCACCTTTTAGCTTGGCGCATTAAGGTAAGTCAGAAGCAGAGCTGGTTGCTGTTTTTGTGCTGGGCTGGAAATGGTGATGCTTCAGGAGCTGTCTCATAAACTAAAGTGATATTCCTGCCCAGAGGCGATCCTCAGAGAAGAGGGGCACGTGGCTGGAGATAACAGCTGTAGCAGGCAAATTTAAGCTAGTATTACAAGCCTTTCGGGTCTCCTACATTCTCCGAAACTGCTTGTAAGTAGCCTAGTCCACTTCTGGTGAAGCACTAGGAAAAAATCCTTGCTGTGTTCAAGTCTGAAATACGTGCTCAACACACACTACCCAGGCAGCGCAGCAGTGGCACCGCTGCCTTGTAGGCACAGAGTTTATTTTTTAGAGAGAGGGTGAAAAAGGGAGTAAGTAGTTTGTTCAATCAAATTGGAATTCCTACACATAACTGAAAAGCTCCAGTTTTCTGCAATAAGTAACTTCTTAAGAAGAAAAGGCAGAGTAATAATTAAACAAATCAAAGAGGAGTCAAAGATCAAGGCCTTTTAAAGGGTA